TTTACCAAAACCACAATTTACCGACGCTCTACATCACAAATAGTAATACGAAAATCGGAGTGAGTCCCAGATGCGCACATTGACAAACGGACACATCCAATCATATGTCGTTGTTTATAGAGTCTCTAGAATATCTCTAGGCATATGGCGTTGTGGTTGGATGTGATAAAAACGAAATAAAAACACAAATATTTTCTACAAAACTATTTTTTATTTCTCATCAGTTGCATATCCATTGCATAAACAAACGATACATAATTAAATGATGATAAAATAAACGGTGCACATCATTCTGTGTCCAAATGAACAGCAGACAACTGGACGATGTCCAAGTGAACGGTGTCCAAATGAACAGTGCGCATCCTTCTGTGTCCAAGTGAACAGTGGGCGATTGAACGGTGTCCAAGTGAACGGTGTCCAAATGATCGGTGTCCAAATGAACGGTGTCCAATTGAACGGTGTCCAAGTGAACTGTGTCCAAATGAACGATGTCCAAGTGAACAGTGCGCATCCTTCTGTGTCCAAGTGAACAGAGAAGCAATTCCACGGTATCCAAGTGAACGGTGTACAAATGAACAGCATGCATCGTTCTGTGTCCAAGTGAACAGTGGGCAACTGAACGGTATCCAAGTGAACGGTGTCCAAGTGAACGGTGTCCAAATGAACGGTGTCCAAGTGAACGGTGTCCAAGTGAACGGTGTCCAAATGAACGGTGTCCAAGTGAACAGTGGGCACTTGAACGGTGTCCAACTGAACTGTGTGCAAGTAAACGGTGTCCAACTGAACGGTGTCCAAATGAACGGTGTGTAACTGAACGACGTGCATTTTCTTTCGTGTCCAAACGCACCGTGTCCAATTGAACTGAGTGTCAAATGCCGTGTCCATTTGCAACGTGTCCAATTGTACTGTGTCCAAGTGCACCGCTCCCCCATACGCGACTGGCCAAAGCCGAATACAATAAAAAGGGTCAGACAATTCTTCGGATTAGCTTCGTGGTATAGGCGCTTCATACCAAACTTCTCGGAAATAGTAGCTCCCCTTACGAAAATGTTACGTAAAAATGCGAAATGGAATTGGGAAGAGAAACAGGAAACAGCGTTTCAAAAATTAAAAAATATATTAATATCGACACCGATACTCGCGTGTCCCGATTTTTCAAAAAAATTTATCGTCCAGACGGATGCGAGCACAGAGGGGCTCGGGGCCGTGTTAACGCAAAATATAAGAGGGGAAGAACGGGTAATAGCATACGCCAGTCGCACACTGGACAGAGCTGAACGAAACTATAGTGCGACCGAATTAGAGTGCCTCGCCGTAGTCTGGGGGATACGGCGCCTCCGCGATTATCTGGAGGGATACAAGTTTACGGTGATCACGGACCATCAATCCTTCTGGTGGCTACAAAAAGTGGAGGCGCCCACGGGCAGACTAGCACGTTGGATAATTGAACTCCAACAATTCAATTTCGATATACAATACAAGCAAGGCAGTCTTAATACGGTCGCGGACGCTCTATCCAGACAACCACAAATATGCAGTATCACAAACAAACCAACGTGCGGGTGATATCAAAAAATTGTGAACCAGATGGCCAGCGATCCGACCATACATCCTGATTACGAAATATGGGAGGGTAAATTAATGAAACACATACTCTACGAATTAAATTTCAAAGAAACAAGGGCGGAGGAACAATGGAAAATATGCGGACCAAGAAAAAATAGACAAGAAATACTAAGAAGGTACCACGATGAACCGACCGCAGGCCACCTGGGGATAGCAAAAACGATTGCGCGCATAGCCAAAAAATTTTACTGGCCCGGGATGTTCCGCGATATTGCGAAGTACGTACGAACGTGCGAGAAATGTTTAGCACATAAAGCCCACCAGGAGAAACCCGCGGGTCTCATGCATGCGACAGCGGTGGAGGGACCGTGGTAGCAAGTAACGATGGATCTCATAGGTCCCCTGCCGAGATCAACAAACGGCAATACATGGATCTTAACGATGCAGGATCGTTTCTCGAAATGGTTGGAAATGCGCCCACTACGGAAAGCCACGACAAATTCGGTCACGCAGGCCCTGACCGAAAACATCATCGACATGGGTGCCCCCGAACAATAGTCTCGGATAATGGGAAGCAACTCACGTCACGACAGCTAAAGAAAACCCTGGAATCGTTCAGGATTCATCACCGGACCACACCAGTACACGCCCCCCATTGCAACCCGGTCGAAAGAACGAACAGAGTAGTAAAAACAATGGTGTTGCAATATGTTGGAAAAAACTAACGAAAATGGGATGCACACCTAGTAGAGTTACAATTTGCATACAACACAGCCATACAGGAATCAACAGAGTATTCACCTGCCTATTTGATATATCGCCGTGAGATATATACACACCCCGAAACCACGGGAGCTGAGGAAACAACAAACCGAATTCGACACCTCAAGGAGGCTTACGAGGTTGTGAAAATCAATTTGGCAAGGGCGTTCCAGCGCCAAGAAAAATATTATAATTTCCGGCGACGAGACTGGAAACCAAAAATCAGCGAGAAAGTGTGGAAAAAGGAATACCCTTTGTCCAACAAGGCTAAAGCATTTAATGCAAAACTAGCACCGAGATACATAGGACCGCTGGAGGTAAAGAATATAATATCTCCAGTGATAGTACACCTGAAAAATAAACAAGGAAAATGGTATAGGAATATACACATACAGGATTTAAAACCGATAAACAGTAACAATACGGGAGAAAAGGACGAGGAGACCGAACAGGGAAAGTAGTATAAAAGAGGAACACTGACAGAAGCAGGACACTATTTTCTCGACTGTTACAGGCAGAGAGAAATTTTTGCGAACAATGGCGCAACCAAGCAATTGGTATGCAATACCGGGAATCGAGGTCCTTTGGTCGGACCTCGCATTATCCTTGGATGACGAGGATACGATGGCTCCAACACCGCCATCGAAACCGTCGGCCCTAATTCCACCTCCGACACCGCCGGCTATACCACCGCCGATAGCAACAAGGATGCTAAATAGAAAAGTTCCGTCACAAGGAACCCGCATCCAACGCTCCGACATAGAGCAACGCCGTAAGGCAATAATGCTTACGGCTCCATTGCCCCCACCATCCGGGCGCCAAAGACGTGTCAGTGGCACAATGAAGGCTGATCAAATGACACTAAGGAATAGGCTGCCGACGACACCGCCTGCAGTATCACCAGCAACACCAACAGCAAGCACAGCACCGAGCGAAAAACCAAAGGGGCACACCACACGACCGACCGACCGGGGGACATCGACCGCACACCGACCGGAACCGCTTCGTGCGATCGGCCCGTCTCTACCACCGCCAGTCAGAGTGGAGGTGCAACCGGGGATAGTAGCCGAAATTCCGCATTTTGCCGTACATGTATCCAGGCGATACAGATTGAGGCTGCCGCAGGGACGTTGGATGCTACGTTTTAATAACGAAGGATAGCTACGAGCCAGCCAGCGATTGCCAGATCAGCCCTATCAAACCGAGGAGGTGATGTGACGATGCCTCACACGCATTGTCACTAACACAGCCGACACAACAACCGTCGGCTGTAAACGGCGCTAAGCGCCAAACAAATAAGACAAACATAAATATGCGCCGCACCTAGCATAGGCCAAAAACAACACCGCGGACGCGGGATGTCAACAACGTTAAATGTATAGATACGGTATATAAACCGTGGCCGAGAAGTAAGCGAGGAGACCGATCCGGATCGCAGACCGAACTCGATGCTTCAGAGCGGAAAGCAAGGAGTCCGATCGTATCGTTCCTGCCTTCCCGTCAACTCCCGAAACCGTACAGGCGAAACCGGCACCAGGAGATTATGTGTTCGTTATCTCCGTCGAGAGCTCTTGACACCGACTTCGCCTTCCTATCTGGATCTAACGACCGGCCTACGAGTTTGTGTGTTCGCGAACCCGATCGAGCTTTCTCGGTACCGATCGTATCCCGAACCCACGTGCAAGTCCTCGCGCCAGTGTGTTCGCTGCGCTCGATCGAACGTTGTCGATACTTGCCTATGCCGTTTCGACGATAAGCGAATCGCCCGATATATCACATCGCGTGCCGTTACACGCAAACACCAACTCTACCGCCGGGCCCCCGCGGCCTCCGATCTGTCCGTAACGCGATTCACGAAATTTTCGCGACTTGTCTCTCGCGACACGCCGTCTTCGCGTCATTCGCTCCGCCTACCAAACCGCGAGACGCGGCTGATCGAGAACGCGATCCGATTACTGGCGCCGTCTCGCACCGAGCTGCACGCAGCTCCCACAGTCGTTTTGTACATCGAAATCCAAATAAACTTTTATCTATTGATACTTGCTGATGTCAATCAATTAACGACCCCGGACTCCGACGAACGACACTTCTGGCGATACAACAAACAACCGACTCGAGGAGTTCGGCTGTTACAATACCTATACCACTGTTTCCAAATTCATTACATCTGTCAGGAACCTGGACCGCACTGACTAGTAGTGTATCCCGCACCGAACGCAATCGCGTTACAGTGTCGTAAGCAGACACTTTAAAGACAGTGACCCAATGTGCAATGCACTCTAAAAGGCCTCGAGCCGCCGCTCGCACCGGCTTATATAGATACAATTTAACTGCGAGCAACAGCCCGACGATGTCGTCGTCATGTCGCGGCGACGGCGCAAAGCAGCGCCGGCAGGCGAACGTCTGCGAGTATCGCGGTATATGGTCGTACACTGTCTGTACAGAACAGTATTAAATAATTTATTTTTAAATAGAAAATATATAAAAGTAGATTTTTTAATTGAGATATTTATTATTACAGCAATGTGTCTTTATAATCCACCTATCGAACACATTTTTTGCAGATAGGTCCTATTTGCAATATACACCTTCCTGCAATGTACAAACATACTTCTTGCATTCAAGACAAGTAAAATTCGTTCTGTTTTTGTCGCACAATCTAATTTGACAGGATCTGAGTGTATTATAAGTTTCTTTTAAATTTTTTGAAGTTCAGTCTGTTAAACTATATTTCGGTTGCTGTGTAGAAATTTTCTTTTCGTTCTATTTACTTGCGAGTTCTTCCGCCAATTGAAACAAAAATTGTTTTCTAGTTATATTTGTGCCTGTAGTTTTTTGTATATTATCCATGCATTGATTGCAGCTATATCCAGAATATTGTAAAAAACTTGCCATCTACGAGATTCTGCTTTTACGCTATATTTGATCGAGCCATTTGATCAACAATATCCACTCCGAACTAATATTTGTTATAATTTAATAGTTTCCGGTATATGTTTATTAGTTTTATCAAACTTTACAAATTTATGTTTTGAACTTAAAAGTAATATCTTTTTGGCAGTTTTGCTTTTGTAAATAGTTAAGTTGATGTTATCCGACTTATACAGTTGTGTGAAACGACTTATGTTATCTTTTTCTAGTTTTGCTATTTTTCCCTCCTGTATATTTTGCACGTATAGCTACCTCTGTACGGAACACAAATAAAGATAAACTTTTTGAAGTAAATAACGCTAATTTTTTGTATAAATAAATGAAAGGATATGGATGTATATTTTTTAGTCTAAAATTAATTTTATAATTTATTTTATTGACCCGTTTGACGGGTTTTGGTACATCTAGGTATATCTAGGTAAATCTAGATATATCTAGGTATATTTAAGCAGATAATTAAAAATTAAAACATTTGAAAGGAAATAAATAAAAGAATATGACAGTTATCCTCTCTTAATAAAAGTTATTATAAATTCGAACAATTATAGCAACACGATGTTAATAAATAAAAAAAAGATATCTGAAACCCGTCATTTTGACGTGTTTGGTAATTCTAGTGTTAATTAGCCTTGAATAATTTTATTTTAAAGGAATACGCTTGCCTACTCCTATAATAAAGTACGGATTATGGATATAAATGATGACTTTATTAATATATTTATAAATTATACATACAATGAAGAAACTTAAATTCTAATAACTTTGATTAAACAGAATCATTCGAATATTTATCTTCGGTGTTCATAAACGAAGATTTAATGGATTTTTTACTGATTTCATCTGATTCATATACAGGGTTGGCCAATATTGTGAAAACAGTCGAATATCTCGAAAAAAAGTATTTTTAAAGAAAACGTTTCAGATAAAAGTTATAAGCCGGTATTCATAGTCAGATCTTATATTTAAAACCGTCTTAAGTTTATCTTCAGATAATGAACGGATTATTTCATTGTTACCAATGTTACGAAGTATCTGAAGATGAACTTAAGACAGTCTTAAAAATAAGATCCGACTATGAATACCGGCCATAGAAGATCTATTTAATGGCCGTATCAGTTTTAACCTTGGGTGGCGCCGCCAAGGTCAGGTCAAGGATCACTATCCATAGTAGCAACATTCAACTGTTCTTTCAACCGAATTTTTCGGTTGCGGTAACTTTGATGTCATTTCTCGTACGATTTAGTCCGATACTCTCTGTGAGAACAGCAGAATAATTATCTGCGGTAATCATTTTTTTGGAACGGAAAATTTAGTTCCTTCAATCGAAAGCAAACGCTGATGTGAAAAATTCTTTAGTTATTGGAACAAACTTTCTGTTATTGAAATTGAATTTCGTGTAACAGAAAGTTTTTAGCTGTATAAAATATTTTTTGCGTGTATATGAAATCAGACTTGATTTACAGGGTGGGCTAAAATTGTGGAAACAGTCAAATATCTCGAAAAAAGCATTTTTTACAAAAATGTTTCAGACAAAAGTTATAGGATTTCAGAAGATCTATTTAATGGCCGTATCAGTTTTGACCTTGGGTGGTGGCGTCAAGGCGTCAGTTCGAGGTCAACTTTGCTTCTTTAAATAGAAACATGTATTTTTTACTACAGAATTTTATTCTGCATACAGAAAAAAAATTTTTGTTTGAAAATATTTTTTATACTGCCTCTATTTTCTAAGATATTTACGGAAATATCTACAAAATTATTGGCTTCAATAATTTTTTACTCGAATTTTTCCTACTTTACTGAAAAATAACAAGAGATAAAAATTATATATTTTCCTCTTATAGAGCTGTAAAACATTTTTCAGAATTTTCTAATTAACTTTTTAGTACTGCATTCTTTGCATTTCCTTGAAATACTAAGTTTATATAAAATGCTGAAAATTATTTGAAATCAATCGAGGTTAGGTCAGGAAAATCGTAATCGTAATCGTAATTGTTTTCGAATTTGTTCAAGAAAAATACTAATTTTTTTTTCTTTATCTGGAATATGCTATAACAAAGTCTACTTGTTATACATGCGCGATTTTTTAGTTTTAATGTGGTAATACTGTACATCAGAATTGGCACTCTTGCATTGAACGTATTATATGTTGCATTCATTACAATATAATACAAAAAATTCAGATAAAAATATCCTAATTACATAATATCGTGATTATATAAAGATGACTTTGACGTTGCTGCTTTATCGCTTCTTCTAAAGTTATTCAAAGCTTTTAATATTCCGACACATGAAGGCAAACCTTACTGAGTTAATAATCAAGAAATTTTAAACAATTAAGAGATTTTTATTCTTATATATATGATATTAAAATATATATTCTGACCATATATTCGATTCGATTTTTTGCAAGTAACTCTCGTTTACATATATTAAATTAATGGCCAATACTAACCATTATTACATATATATATGTATATATATATATATATATATATATATATATATATATATACACCCAGTAAGCAAATTGAGCGCAGGCTGCGCGCAGATTGGCAGCAAATTTGATCAAAAACCCACAGCAAAACCATAACCATCTGTGTCTACATTAGGCTACGGTTTTGGCGACAGATCTTGCTGTCGGACAATTGGTGCCAAATTTGCAGCAAAAACCGCGCAAAACTTGCAGCGCAGCAAGGTTTACGCGGTTTCTGCTGCCAATCTGCCGTCAAATCGCTACAAGCTCTGCGCGGTTTTTGCTGCAAATCTGCAGCAATTATCCGACAACAAGCTCTGCCGCATATCTGGCGGCAATTTGGCAGCAAGATTTGATATAACAGATCCTGCATCAAATTTGTTATCTATTTACCATCAAAAGTTGATAGCAAACTCTGCTCGAAATCTATTCGCGCAGGTTTGGCTATCTAGGCATATATATATATATATATATATATATATATATATATATATATATATATATA